CTTCCCGCCAAGCCACCGACACGGCCCCGAAAGGGGGAGCGCTCCGCCCGCCGGCCAGGGCTGGAAGTCCCGCACGCACTGCCCGCCTCGGCCCCTGGCCCTACCCCCTGCTGCAGCTTTGCTCCCTCCTCTCCGCCCCAGGGCCGGGAGGACTCTGCCTCGGGGCTTTCAGCCCCACACCGTCGAGCCACACCTGGGGTCTCCACAGTGCCACCGGCCTCCTTCTGCTCAGAGCCTGAGCCTCTCAGCGTGCCTGTTCTCATCCTCCCTCAGGTGGAGGCAAACCTTCTCCGGCTCAGACAAGTTCTGCTCCCTCAGCCTCTCCTTGCAGGCGCTGTGCTCCAGCCCCGGCCTTGGTGGCCCTCCACTCAACTGTCAACAACTTTCTTGTCCAGGACTGTGAGGGGAAGGATGACACACCTGGACGGAGCACAGTGATCGAGAAGCACCCTAATGAGCACCGAATACAGTAATTGCTTTTTCCAAGCTGCTGCCATGCTGTTGTTACATGCCCACAGCCTTTGAAACAGAGCTGCTACCCAGACAGGCAGTTGCCAAGCCAGGTCTGTGCAAGGTGCCCTCCCTCCCTATAAGTAGAGCGTTTGTCTTGGTTACATTTCAAAAAGTTCACGCTGTCTTGTTCCTGAGCCTGCCTAGGTGCTTCTGGACAGCAGCCCAGCCCTGATGCATGGCAGCTGCACCCCAGTATGGGGTCACACACGGACATGGCAACAGTGGGTCCTGCCCTCTCCTCCCAGACCTTGCAAAAGATGTTAAAATAGGCCTCCAGGCTAAGTGTGACCCATTAAGCTGCAGCTGTCTGAGCACAAGCACACGTTGAGCTTTTTTACCCATCTAGCTGTCCACCCACCTAGACTACAGAATCCAAGCACATACAAAAATAGCATGGGAGCCAGTGCCAAGCACCTTACTGAAGTTGCCATGGCATCCACTACCATCCCCCCATGCCTACCAAATCAGCCACTCTATCATAGAAGGCATCTGGTGAGGCACGATGGCACCCTTTCTAGACACATAAGCAAGACTGTGCCAAGGGGACTCAGTGATTTCTCCCAGGGACCAATTTCCTCATGGTTCCTCAAATTGACCTTCTGGGCTTTCCTGAATATGGGTGCATTTGTCTGGCTTCAGTTGTTGTGGACCCTCCTCACCCCACTCTAAGTACAGAAAGCAGCTGCTCCCAAAGCATCAGCCAGTTCTTTCCAGCACCCTCAGACACAGTCCAGCTGGTGTAAGATTTGTACAGGTTAAGTTCCCCAAAACAATCCCTTGTCATGATCCTCACCCGTTGCTGATAGTTTTTTTACTTGCCTTCAAGCACACAGTCAGGAAAATTGATGCAAAGGCAGCTCCGAGTACATTGGCATTACCTGTGCTCACATTCAACAACGGGCCTATGTGCTCCTTGTTCAGCCTCTTCAGTGTTAACATAGATTTTGAGAGCAACAGGAGATTCCACAAGCCCTTGTGTGCATCAACACCACCCTCACATGCCTTGGTAGCATTTCCAGTAACTTCTTTGCCGTGAACTGTTCTTGCTTCTACCATGAGTTTCCCAAGAAAGTTGTCAGGTGTCCCCTGTTTAGCCTAACTAGCATCCCAACTCAGCAACTTTTCCTATTTGGATGTGCCACTCTTGCATAGGGAAGATACTCCCCTTAAAAACGTGGCAGGTTCATTCACCCTTCAGTTACCTTCCATGGCACTGCACTTACCAGTTGCCCAAATAAGCTGAAGTTTGCTCTATGAAGTCCAAGGACTTGCCTTGCTCACTCCCTTCATGGTCTTGTGCTTCACTGTATGATCATGACTACAGCAAGAGTTGCTAATATCACATTCCTGAACACCTCTTCCTTGGTAATAGACATCCATTTGTGCAACACCCCTGGTTGGCCCATTCAGTGTATCTACCAAGAAAGCTTCATGGAATCTGGATTGCTTGCATCCCACCATGTAACCCTTCAAGTTGTCAAGGAGATTAATTCCTCTCCAAGAATGAGGATCTGTGATGCCATTTAGTTGCTAATTTAATCAACTTTCATCATGAGTAGCTGGTCTGTAATGCACCAACACATCATCCTCAGTTGCTAAGGATCAAAGGAGAGGCTTTCTCAACTAGTTATTGTTGTTATCCAAGAGTTCTATACATTCCACCTGCTCTTTTTACAGGAACAACCCTCCACCCTCATCTTCCCCATCTCTCCAGAAAAACATAATGTCATGTTTGTGGACCAAGTCTAGAACTTCACTTACCACCTTCATCGTAATTCCCCTTATTAGGCCAGAAACCTATTCAACAGCTCCTGGAACACCCTTGATTAATACTCAAAGTGCTTGAGAGCCTTCTGTCCAGTAGACACAACTACATTTGCTACACTCTGTCCACTTAAGAATTTCTCTCCCTAGTGTGTAGGCACAGAAAATAAATTATGTAAAAAATATATAAGCAAACACTAAGGAAGGAATTGGGGTGCTAACAAATTGCGGAAGACTTCTGTATTTAAGGCTGCTAGTGTGACAGATTAAATCTATTTGGAAGCACTTCCTCCATTTTTCCCTCAAGTGCAATCAGGGAATGAGAAAATTTCCTGAGTGGCCTCTGTCTGCAAGTTCTCTTAAGCACAACAATCAGCATTAAGCTAGTTGTCCATAGCCAAAAGCATAACGTCAAAACACTGGAAGTGGGGAAATCAAGTTACTTCTTTACCAGTGCTGAACTATGAAGCTAACACCAGCAGTGCCTTTTGTGTGGTGACTTCAGCCATCTCCTCCTTCTATTTCCTTTTGTATGTTTTGGTTTTTTCTTCTCCATTTCTTTTAATTGTTTAGTTTTTTCCTCTTTCCTTGTCCTTCATCATTTTTCCTCCGCTCATTAGTTTCTCTGGCTTTCTGACTGTGTGAGAAAGCAGCATGCAGTCACAACAGGGTGCCATGTAACTGAGCTGTTTTTTCTGATACTACTGTTAAAGCATATGGGGAAGGATTGGCTAAATGTGTAAGAAGAAATGAAGTGCAGCTTTCCATGTATTATAAACACTTCAAGTCATAGATGACTCCAGAAGGAGGATCCTGGGCCCCATACCTTGCAGACACCATAGGATTTGCAGATCACACCTCAGGTTGAACTGAAAGGATGTCTGACAACATTAAAGACTTCTGATGGTGCAAAGTCTTCTGAGATACAGAAAGGGTCATCAACACTAAGAAAACAGCATTCCTGGATGACTACTGATTGATATGAAGCAACAGTCCTGTGCAGATGAAAACTGTTCCAAATTAATGTTTACAGTGGGTCACACAGCACAGACCCAGGCACTACAAACTATCTTTCTACTACCCACTTCACATTCAGTAAGCTTGTCTGCAAGCTCAGAGCTATCAGATACAAGGTGTTTTGATGCACCATTTTCAACCTGGAATTCCTCTACTCCAGTGTTAAGTATACAACACACTAAGAACATTCCTGCACTTTTTAAAAAGACAAATTTGAATTAAAACTTTGTCCCGCAGGATTTTTGACATGAAGGTGTTTTTCTCTGACTACAGAAGTCTATTACAGAAGCACCAAATTAATTACCAGGATAGGATACACCTGAATAGGTGATAGTAGAGGTGTCTACATTGAAATTCAGTAAAAATAACATGGCTCAAGAGGCTGGTATCAAGGCACATAAGCTGAAACATACCATACAATCTAAACTGATGCTGTACATCTAAACTATTGTTTCTGGACTATCACTGAGAATTTCAGAATTCCACTCTGGCTTGTTAGTGTTCATATATTCTTAAAAAGCGCCATATGCACTGCTCCCTTATCTTGAGATTTGCCTCTCAGAACCATTCTGGTACAGATTTGTTATGACCTAGAACTTATTCTGACTGTAATTTCATGTGGTACTCAGAGGAGGCAACATTATTCCCATGAGAAATTTGATGAAAACACCTCAACATTCATCCTAAACATTTTAGAGTTTCTCATATACACACATACAGAACAATAAACTGCAAAACACAAGTGACTTGGTAATTAAATAGTAAAATACAGCTCTAACAACCATTTAACTATGAACAACTGAAGGACCTTACTGCTTTAAATCAACACCAAGATGATGCCCCTTAGACACTCCATGAGGGAATATTCATTTAGCTTCAGAGTTAAAAAGCGCTTTGATACATTTGTTTCTAGCCATCATCATCTCTTGCAGATCCACACATTTAGCAGTGCAGAGCTCTACAACCTTCTGTATCACGAGCAGGAGTGATCACGTTTTCCATTTGCACTTTGTAGTGTGGGGTGCAGCTGGGTAAGGCAAGTTCAATGTAGGTGTAAATTGCTACTGGTAGGGCACTGAAGAATTCTGCTTTGCCAAATAGCTGTACTGATTTTGGCATAGGCAGAGAAAATTACACATTGTGAAAAGCAGTGAGAAATCACATGCGCAGCATTTCTGTCTCATGCAAGGTGTTTCTAGTTGTGCCACTAGATAATCCCTTGCTTGGTTATTCCAAGTGTAATTTGAATAACCAGTTGGGAAGATCCACATACATGTAAGCCATTTATTTTTCTCTATGAAACTCAGTGTAATGTCAGTTAGTTTTTTTTCACTACAGACTCCAGTATTCAAGTTAACCACATCCCATCTTCCTAGTTTTGACAGTAGTATGAAAAATATATTTAAAGCTGATTTAGAACAAAATTTGTTTCCTGTCAAAAAGGAGACACCTGTAACATCACACTGAACAGGATTCAGCAAAACTTGTTATTCTGATTAACTTATTCAGAAATAGATACAAAAATACCAGTAAAGAAAATTGAGCTTTGTTATTTACCTACCACTCTGCATGTTTAGTAGTATCTACTGAGATTTTTATTAAGATGACAA